ATCACATTTACTCACCTTTGTGCTGGTGATACAAACACATTTAGGCATGAAAAAGAAATAAAACTTACAAAAAATGAAACAAAACTCTTATTATTTAAAGATGATATAATTACATAGAGATTAAAATAAAGTAGATTCCATAGATAGGTTTTGGGAAGGTCATTGGATAAAAACAATATGCAACATACCAGCAACAAATGGTAGGAAGGAAAAGATTTTTTTAAAGTACATTCTCAATGTCATTAAAAAACAAGAATTCAAGGAATACAACAAATACAACCCAAATGTAACACACTTGAGGATAAATATAACAAAAAAATCAAGGAAAAATTATAAAACTTTATTTAAAACATTTTAAACGTAAGTAAACAGAACATAATATCTTTTTGGAACAGAGAGTCAATATTGTAAATATGTCTGTTTTCCTCAAATGGTCCATAGACAACACAATTTTAGCTAAGATTCCAAGTGGGATATCTGTGGAACTTGACAAGTTATTTCTAAAATTCATATGAAAGTACAAAGGGCCAGTAGTAATCAAGGTACTCATGAAGAAGGATAACAGAATGAAAAAGCCTGCTTTAATAATTTGTGCAGAAAAAAAAATAAAAATAATTTGTGTAGGGACAGACAGATACTGTAGACCAATGGGAGAGAATAGAAAGACCAAAAACAAATCCACACAGGCATGAAAAATTGATTTGTGACAGATGTTTCTAGTCACTAGGGAAAGAAGAGAAATGGTGCTGGAACAACTGGTTGTGTATATATATCCCGAAGTCAGCGCCTCTGGAGTTTTTTTGGGGGGTGATGAAAATGTTCTGGAATTAGATAGTGGTGATGGTTGCATAGCTCTGAGAATATGCTAAGAACCAATGAATCGTATATTTTAAAAGGGTGAATTTTATGGTATGTGAATATCTCAATAAAGCTGCTATTTAAAATTTTATGGTATGTGAATATCTCAATAAAGCTGCTATTTAAAAATATAAAAAATCAATGCCAGATGGATTAAAAACTTATATGTGAATCGAGACAGTGTGGTGCTAGCCCAAGAATATAATGTAAATAAGTGGAATTGAATTGAGAGCCCAGAAATAAAATCATGTCTCTATGGTCAACTGATTTTGACAAGAGTGCCACAAACATTCAAAGGGAAAAGAATGGTCTTTTTTAACAAATGATGCTGAGACTACTGGATACCCACATGCAGACGAATAAAGTTGGACCCTTACTTCATATCATATACAAAAACAAACTTAAAATGAATCAAGACCTAAATTTAAGGCCCAAAGCTATTTAAAAAAAAAAAAAACCTCTTTGAAGAAAACATAGAGATAAATTATCTTCATAACCTCAAATTTGGCAAAGGATTCTTAGATCATCAAAAGGATGAAAAACAAAAGAAAAAATTGATAATTTAGACTTTATCCAAATTAAAAACTTTTGTACTGCAAACGACACCATCAAGAGAGTGAAAAGATAATCCACAGAATGAAAGAAAACATTTTCAAATCATGTACCTTATGAGGGACTTTTATCCAGAATATATAAGTAACTCCTACAACTTAATAATTAAAAAGACAAATTATCTAATTAAAAATGGGAAAAGAATCAGAATAAATCATTTCTCCAGGCAAAATATACAAATGGCCAATAAGCCCATAAAAGGTGTTGAACATGATTATTCATCAGAGAAATGCAAATAAAAAACCAGAATGAGACACAAATTCACACCCACTAAGATGGTATCAAAAAGTCAAGTAATAAAAGTGTTGGTAAGGATGAAAAAAAAATAGCCATTTTGGAAAGCAGTAGGTAATTCCTCAAATGACTAAACATAGAGTGACCATATGACCCAGAGATTCCACTCCTAGATAGATATTCAAGAAAATTAAAAATAGGTTTTCAAACGAAAAACCCAAAAA